AAGGGCTCGGCGGTCGGGTCCATGAAAAAGATATATCTGTGGTCCTTCTCCACCGTGGTGCACGGGGCCTCGGAACCGAAGTCCCCGACGGTCACGAGCTGCTCCCTCTCGAGGCCGCCGCTGTTGACGGGCCACACGTCCAGCACTTTGACATTCACACTGTATGGCTCCCGGGAGGAGACGTTCTCCGGGGAGGAGCGCACCTCGCCCTCGATGACCACGGCTGATCGGTACGCCTGGTCCTGGAGGGAGTTGAGACTCGGGGCGTAACAGGCGAAGGAGACCCCGATGACCAGCATGGAGAAATGCACTGGATCAAGCCTCATGCCGTCAGCCTGTGCTGTGCTGCAGTGCTGCTGGGCGGCGGAGCGAGCTGGAAGAGAGAGACGGCGGCGAACGGGCTCCGGCAGAGCAGGCAGGGCAGAGCGGCAGACGTTGTGGAAGTGTCCATGCCATCTGTGTCTGCCGCTGCTTTCCCCATACGGCTGCTGGCCTCGGATGGGGGGACACACCAGCCTAGGAACCGGAAACGGCCCGCTTCTGCATGCTTAAAAATGTGATTGCTGCATTCTCCTTCACCAACCACCCTCCCCCTCTTATCTCCCCTTTTCCTGAAAGGCAAAACAAGACTCGTAAATTAGCCTCCTCTCGAATCCAGGGCTGAAACCTCTCTCTCTCTCTCTCTCTCGCTCTCTCTCTCTCTCTCTCTCTCTCTCTCTCTCTCTCTCCAGCTAATAGGCTAGCATCGCATGGGTGGGCGCATTGCCTCTCTGGAAGGAAAAAAGCAGCTTGCGCGTACAGGGGAATCACAAGAAACGATACGCACTCCACGCACACGCACACGCAAGGTCGGGTCCTTTTATCCACTTATTTCGATCGCCAAAAGAGTCCCACTCCTGCAAATCCGTTAGTTCGGTAAGCAAAATAAAAAAAAGAGAACAGAAAACCGGGGAGGAACAGACGGACAGGATGAGATAGCAGCGGTTATCCGGTGAGGCGATGCAACAGTAGCGCGCACCCTCCAGCCGCGTCCCCTGCGCCCCTCATCAAACGCGAGCGGCTTACGTGAGCAAACATCACCTGCCCGGTCACTGGCGTCGGCTCGCCACGTCCTGCGCAAACACCCTAATGACCCGGGCACCCACCGGCACACCGCCACCGGCCCAACCAGCATGTGACCATGCCGGTCGACTGTGTCAAACCTCTGCGGGTGGGTGAAAGAGAAATCACGCACGCAGTGCACAGACACACAGCACACAGAGTGCGTCTGTAGCCAAGCCCTGCACGGCGCCCACTGTGGATCTCCAGTGCAAGAGGTGCAAGAGAGGCTATAGGCGACTACTACACACACTGCGGATAGTTGTTGCGATGACTAACGCTGCGAAATTCTCTCAATGGATTCCTCAGCATGGCGAGGCGAGCTGGGAGTTTTCGAGACTTCAGCTTTAAATGCCCTCAGACATATATACGCTCCCCAGCACGCTGCAGGAGAGCACACCCAAAAACTGACATTTTCCACACTATTATTCGAGTCACTGCAGTTCACTAATATTGCCTTTGGGATACTGTACAGTTTAACGACTCTGTGGCAACACGTGGGGGCATCAGTTACCCCAACCTGCAGGTATTATGCCGGAGAGACATTCTACCCAAATCTTTTGCCAATCCTGCTCAGCTACAGCTAATAAAACCACTTTTTTCATTGAATACATCTCCACCAATGAAACGAGAGCTTTGCACAATATGCTCAGGCTTTTTATGGTGACCCCCCCTCCTCCTCCTCCCTCCACAGCAAACCAGCCCCTGCCTCCATCTCTGTATCCATCCATCAAGCCATTCATAAGATTCGCCTTTCCCTCCCTGCGAGGAGCTGTGCGCCCTTCGCTAGAGGTCAGAAAGCCTTTCATTGTCCATGCTGAGAGAGGGATAAAATATAATGCCATATAGGGGACATGTAGACAGGTTCGTTCTTATGACCGAGATGATAAAGGAAAATGTATGGGAGGCCATTTCATCACAGTGTGGCCTCATTCATCCGTTTCACCATCAGCAGGGTCACATCAGGGACCAGTCTCTGTCCATGGTGCTGAAAGGCTTTGACAGGTTTAGTGCTCTGTCCCAAAAGACCAATCACATGATGACACCTCATGCAGACCGGAGACCATGCACAGCCAGATTGCTGCAATGAAGGGCTGTCACCTCACTGCATGTATCCTTCTTCACTGTCATATATTAACCCAACAACCAAAGAGTCTTCCACTGTTGCTGGGAAGTGAACGGTGGATGCTGCTAAATGTTATCAAAATGTGCAGGTTTTCTTTATTTCTTAGTCAAATGCTGATGGTTCCACATTACTGGGATTGCGTCTCCAGTTTCAGGGATCACTTTAAGAGGGAAATACAGCCCTTTAAAGTCTGTGTGATCCACCCATGTGACCCACCCCCACCTCTTTCCCTCTCCGCCCACTGCCCACCCATTCACCGATCTGTCTCTCCTTCATTCATTCAACCACTCTTGCATTCATTAGAGCCCACCACTCTGAGACCTCGCACACAATTTAAGAATTTCCAAATTAGCCTTGAAAGCAAATCATTTGTTGACAAAGCGAAGGGGAGTAAAATCCGATTCCTGCTGACTGACCCGAGGGGTGGGGAGGATTGCCACCAATTGCCTCCATGATTCCCCGGATACTCGTACTGAATCCGTGGGAATTATCAGAGGGGCTGTTTATTCGTAATGCACCGACATCTCAGCCAGGTGTCGATGGGGTCACTTGGATTGGCCTCTCATGGTAGACTTGCTGTCTAAACTGCTAATGCTTTCTATCTCTGAAGACAATATACTTGTCTTAGTAAAACATCTGCCCTTTTTTTTGTTATAGTTATTATACAGACTGTCTCTGCTTGTCCCAGATTCCCTCTTTGCAGTCCTCTTTCCCTCATTTTCTACACCACCAGCAATACTCAAGAGCAAATTCAAATCCCATCTGTTTTTATGCCCACTGTTCGCCGTAAGTGGTTGTGAAAAACAAGAAGCCAGTGACTTCAAACCACAAGGGAAATGAGTGGCCTTAAGCTAATAATACTGAGGCCCACCTTTCCCTTCCAGGTTAACGCCCCTTCTTCTACCAGCTCAGCCAGATTAAAGTTATATACGAGGGTTAAATCGATGTTAGGACATTTAATTATAGGCGTACGTGATGCTGGTGAGTTTTAAAAGACTCATTATTTTGGTCATATATCGACAGATACAGTAAATCAAATGGTTGTTGTGTTCCTCTTACAGTCTGTTGATATTAACAGTCCTCCACTGCAGTCTAATCCCATTAAGCTGTTATGAGATGGAGATCCATCAAGTCGCCCCACATCATTCTTCTGCTTGAGGTCCACTCCTCATGAGGACCTCGTAACTTTACCTGCTGACGTTGTTACTGTTGTTGTACCTTTAATGGCAGGATTCAGACAAACTTGTACAAAACTTTTGAGCATTCATAATAAGCTATATATGAAGTCATCACAAGAACTGTACATTTAATAATTACGCTATAAATAAATAATTAGTTCTACAAATGTAACCCTATTTATGTGAATTCATTTTCATTTTCTTTATTTCTTATGAGTTGATTGTCCGAGTCATCATTACTAGACAGTTGTCTTCACTGATGAACCCTTTCAAGGCCATTGAGAAGCAGTGCCACGTAAGCAGGTCCAATCACAGGGTAATGATTCATGATGCTTCACAGTGTATCAGCCCCCTCCCTCAGACTCCGCACACAGCTATCATCTACTGTTCATTCAGAAATTTGTCTTTTCACCCTGCTCTCCCCCCACCCTCTCTCTATTTTTCTCTCTATATATATTTATCTCTATCTCCTTCCACAGGGATTGTCCGGGGTTCGCTGTCCATGGTGCTGAAAGCCCCAAACAACTGTCCATGGTGCTGAAACACCCAAAACCAAATGACCATCGGACAAACATCGTGACTTTGGCTCCTGATCTGAACTTTTATTACTTTTTAGACTTTGTGCAGACAGGTGGGATCTTAAATTTAATCAACCTATCTATCTATCTATCTATCTATCTATCTATCTATCTATGTGGATGTTAGTACTGCAGTGTTTCACGCTCACATGGGTGGGGGTTAACTTTCAGTTGCAATATACGGCAACACTAAAGGCTGAAATAAAAAATTCTGCAAAACGTTGCAAAGACAACTTGAGTGTCTTGAACGCAGCCCGCTCGGATTACTACAGTAACACTAACACTCCGTTTGCTTTCATTTTTTTCCATCCTCTTCTTCTCGTCTCGCGATAGAGCGGCGGAGTGGTTTGACGGGCAGTCGAGGTTGCAGCAGGCAGAGGGAGACGGTGGAAGGTAAAGCAGGGAGGCAGCATCATGGCGGACAGAGACAGTGGCAGTGACCACGGAGGGCCCACCGCAGGCCCCGGCTCGCTGCCCCCGGGTGCGATGGGCGCCATGTCCCGGCTGCAGCACGACACCGAGGAGCTCGCCTCCAAGCGCGTCGACATCCAGAACAAGCGCTTCTACCTTGACGTGAAGCAGAATGTTAAAGGCCGCTTCCTAAAGATAGCCGAGGTCGGGGCTGGGGGAAACAAGAGCCGCCTCACTCTCTCCATGTCGGTTGCCGTGGAGTTCCGCGATTATCTTGGGGACTTTATCGAACATTACGCCCAGCTGGGCCCGACCAACCCGGACATGGTGCAGGATGAGCCCCGGCGGGCGCTCAAGAGCGAATTCCTGGTGCGAGAGAATCGGAAATATTACATGGATCTGAAAGAGAACCAGAGGGGGCGGTTCCTGAGGATCCGACAGACCGTTAATCGGGGGCCCGGCTTGGGAAGCGCGCAAGGCCAGACCATCGCTCTGCCGGCGCAGGGTCTCATCGAGTTCCGCGACGCTTTGGCCAAACTCATCGACGACTACGGCGTGGACGAGGAGCCGGCGGAGCTCCCGGAGGGCACCTCGCTCACGGTCGACAACAAGCGTTTCTTCTTTGACGTGGGCTCCAATAAGTACGGGGTCTTCATGCGGGTCAGCGAGGTGAAGCCCACGTATCGGAACTCCATCACGGTTCCGTGCAAAGTGTGGTCCAAATTCGGCAACACCTTCTGTAAATATGCGGAGGAAATGAGGAAGATCCAGGAGAGGAGTAGAGAGAAACGGGCCTCCGAACTGGTACCTGAGGGCCCGCACGGCGGAGACGACGGCGACGATGACTGACGCGGATTTTGTAAGAGAGCAGAAATGAAACAACAAAGACAAAACTGAACTCTTGAGAGAAAAACGAGACTTTTAACTGTAAAATAGAAAGAGAAATTTCCAAGGGAATCACCCCACACGCACAACCTCCACAGACATGGCAGCACCTCTGCTCTCTCCTCGCTCATTTTACTGGATGTCACCCCCACTTACCACCCATGTAACAGTAAGCTGCTGCTATCAAGGATTGAACTGTAAGATATGAACTGTTTCCTGTTTGATTTAAATGACAATGAACAGAGTGTTTATATCTCTATCAAACAACAGATTTTGCACACATCAAAGCTATTTCGAGAAGAAAAGAAAAAAAATGTTTAAATGTTTTCAAACTGGTCATATGCTAAGATTTAATCAAACATAAAACCAGAGGTCTATTATATAAAATGACAGTCTTCATGTAGAACGAATATTTGACATCAGCACAAAGAGAATATATTATGGACTTTATGAAACCAAAATCTGATACCAGATGTATAGTTTATTATAAAGGTACGCAGAATAAATATGAAAGCGCTCTAAAAAGTGTATGAATTGCAGAACGCAACATACAGGCCTGTAAACACCTGTCAGCATGCGTGTAGGCTCATGTTTTGAAAAGAAGTTTGGCAAAGTAGGCTGTAGTCTTTAATTTGACCTGAAACGTAGTAGGCTAATGAGAGCATTTCTATCACGCCATTATGGAAATGTTGAGACTCAAAAATAAATAGCCTATTTTGTGCGCCTCAAACAAATGGGATAAATCTATCTCTGAGCTACTATATTGAATATCAGCCCTCTTGCACCATGTCCATATAAACTTAAATGAAAAAAAGTGCTAACTTAGATGTACTAATTATGATTTTGTGAATCAGCTGTAAAAAAAAAAAAAAAAAATCCTTATTAAGATACCCACGTTTTCTGTGGGTTAAGTTTTTCTTTCTGTTACTTGGTTGTTTTTTCCTCTGGGGGGGTGGTGGGGTGGGGGATGCAAAAGAATAAGGTCCACTCGTGGGAGCGCAAGGCGCGGAAACAAAAAAACCCTAAAAAAAACAGAAAGACGCGTCAGCGCAGCGCGCGGCGAGGCAACGCATCCTCTCTGACGTCATTACGACCCGTGCCTTATACACTCCACTCGTTTACGTGTTCTCACGTGGATGGTCTGTGACCTCGACCGCTGTACGTTTTCATTTTACGAGTGCTGTTACGTAGGCCGAAATATATACTCACCAGGGCTGCGGGACTCACACCCCTGCGGTGCATGGAGCATGGGTGGCAAAAGTAAGCTGAAAGGCTGCCAGGAGCTTGTGAGGGGGGCCAACGGTGGTAGTGGGCAGAAACAGAGCTCCAAGCTAGAGCGGGCCCCTCAGAAAGATGAGGTGCTGCCGTACGTACACTTTGGAAACAGGAAGGCAGGCGGGGTGGGTTGGGGGGGCCCCAGTGTGTTATGGCACCCTGGAGCCCAGAATCCCTAGCGGCACCCCTGGCCTGGTGGCCTCTCACAGAGTAGAGATGTGTCTCCCTGGAACAGGAGAAGAACCCAAGATGTACCGCCTGTGGCAGCGCTGGGTGTCAGCATGGAGATTCATCTGGAGATGTTACGGGTGGCTTTGCACACCATATGCACCATGATGTAAAAAAAAACAGAAAAAAAACAGCAACAACAAAAAAACAACAAAATCAGGAGCGACTGGATGAGGCTATTCGTCAGAACTGAGATGGATGCTGTTAAAGAGCCAGGCAGTCAGCCAGCCAGGCGGGCCAGCCGGCCAGTCCCATGCCATCAGTCTGAGTGCAGTTCAGTGGATGTAGAGGCCTATCAGTGCAGGGCCAAGGCAGTATCTATCTCTATATGGTGCTACAGCCCCTTGATCGCTCCACGGGGGCCTCGCCGCTCAGAATATGTCACTTTTGCATTATTTTTATTCTGATGCTCTTTATTCTTTTTTCTTCTTCAAAGTTCTTTTCTCCACATTATGTTGTCCGAAACACGTCAGGTTCCTCCCTCCCAGGCAGAGAGGACTGACTAGTGTAGGACATTTCATATTAGTGTGCAATATTGTGTACGTGCCAATAGCGGCATTGTATCACGTGTATAGACTATTAAAAGACGAAAAAATGTATAGGCTATGTGATCAGTAGATATATGAAAGCATGACGATGAGGTTGATGCATCTGCATTATGTTTTCCGAAATGTGAAGTCTTTCTTCTCAAGCACTTACTCAAAGTGGAAAAAAAAGTCAGACTAGTAGTGAGGTATTTTTTCCTGTCACGTTCTGTAAACCAGTAGGCTGCCTTGTCCGTCTATCAGTGCGCGTAGAGTAGTTCGGGTGTTTTACGTCCCCCTACGGAGTCACCCCAGAGAAAAACCCTTTCCCTCCTCGTTCCTCCCCAAACACACACACACACTCACATACACAGTGCAGACAGTCAACAAGCTCTGTCTCCATGTCAGCCTCTCTGCAGTGGCCTACACTGAAGTTGAATAGTATCCTGGGGCTCGGGTCCAGGGGTGGCTAACACACACACACACACACACACACACAGTCGCTCACTGTCGAGGCCTCTTGTTGCTATCTGACTGTTTGGGAGGCCTCTCAAGTATTTTGAATGGTGTCTAGAATGGCACAAGGCCTCCTGTCATTAGAAGCCAGGAAACTGTGTGTTTGGAGCTTGAGCACGACCCCCCTCTCGCCTGGGACGGCTGATTGCAGGACAGGTGAACTACGATTTGACTTTGGCTTGTCTGCGGTTTCACTTTAGTTAGGTGATAGTGATCGGGCACAGCAGACCCGAAGGACGGAGGAGTTTGTTGTTTTTACAATGAGGATCACAATTCTCTCTCATATGGTCTGCTCCTCTTCTCAACTTGGGATTCAAAGCGTAAAAAAAAAAGGCCCTGGCTCATTGTCCGTGCAGCAGAACTTGTTCAAATGCCCAAATACACTCTGCTAGACACACAGTCCATTCCTTCTTTTTGACCCGATCGACCTTATACCTTATACCGACCTTACGGGCTTATACTGAAGTGCTAGTTAACAATCAATATGCTCCAAGTGGTTAGTTCACCTATCAGCTTTATATAAAGCAGGCTGGCCAACAACAGCTAATGCGACTGAGCCCGGTCACAGGCCCTGTCAGAGTGCCGTGCCACCTAGGTGGTATGAAGGGGAAATACAGACTGCATGGATTGCAGCTTTAGAGGCCTCGGCTGGATAAAAGCTGCTAATGTAGTTACAGCCTGGGCCTGCCAGACGTGGGATATCTGAGGCTAGACTGAAGCAGAATTCCCCCAAGCACACCTGGGCTCAAAAGGTATCAGAAGTCCTGTTGAACGCTTGCTTTAAAAAGTTGATCTGTGTTTGATTGGGCATGCCTGTGGCAGCAGAGCCAAGAAAAATGTTCCAGAAAATCCCATCTGTTCCATGCAGGACGTTTTGGCCCAGGTTTGTCTCCGAGTGTTGGTGAAAGGCCCGATGAAGCCTGGCACTGCACTGCAGGGGCTTACCGGCAGCAGCCTACCACGACCTACTGACCCGGCTGTCAGACAGATCCAGTTAGGACTTTTCTCTCTGTTTTAGAGAAGAACAAGAAATCTCTTTCCCCTCCTGAAGAGATGACTGCATGTCCTTACACTGCTCTGTGAATTACAAAGAGCCCATTTCCATTAAACACACGTAGAAGCCAACTATTACTATGTGCCCGGCAAAGCACATCTGAGGTCAATCTGAGTTCATCTTGAATTCAACATGAATCTGGACTGTCTGTTGTGATACAGCACTTATTCCCCAAAGTGTTCTAGCTTTAAGCTTGATTGAATTTAGGCCTCCAGGAGGCTCATGCTACATGAAGACTGGAAATACAACACTTCCTTTTCTCTTTTTCTCTTTCTCTAATGGCCAAATATAATGAGAGCCTGAACCTGCTCAAATAGTTCACTTGGTGAATGCCTCCCTTTGTGAAACGCACACATTTTCTTAAAGATTAAAAGATGAGTCGTCTTGTTTTGTTACAGACTGTAATCGCCAGGTGCTACTGGGTCAGTTGTGTTTTTAGTGCAGAATGATTTAGTTGTGAAACATGACTCGTCCATTTTGGGTCGTAGCTGCATCTGCATTACAGAGGAGGGGGGGCACTTGTGATTTTGCTGAAAACAGTGTGATCAAATCTGATTTCTCAGTTTATGAGACCTCATCCAGTGTCACAGCAAAACCTGGAGTGACCTTGCAGCCATGTTGCACCCACATTACACGGTCATCCATTTCTAGGATTCAAATGCAAAATGGTAGGCAGACGTTGTTCGCTTTGTTTTCTGTGTAAAGCTTCAGTGGTCAAGCTGTGTGCTGTCCTCGGTGGCTCTGGCTAGGTTCAGTGTACATGGGTGATGTTGCACTGAAACTGTTAGTCATTGACGAGAATCGTGTTTTGATTTATTATACAGCAGTAGCCATCGTAGCAATCCCTACTCATGATGTTACCCTGCCTTTTGTCTGTTAACGCTGCAGTGTCCATTTAGTTAGGTGACCAGACCATTTCTTACACGTTTATTAAACTGATGGGAACAGAAGAAGAAAATTGTCAAATTGTAGACGTAGCTCAAAAGCAGTAGCTACTTGTTGCATGAACTCAAAGTCAGATTGCTATGATGGCTCCAGCTGTAGGTTTCATCTGCTTGTTCCTTCTGTCTTGAACGGGGAGATTATTCATGTTTCTGACCGCATCCAAACAGCAACATGTACATGACTTGTAACAGCAAAACTGAACTACCACAAGGTGTTCCAGACAACCAAATCTGCTCTGTTCCTGGTTTCAGTGTTGTAGTCTTTCATTGGCCATTCAGAGTTCCTGGTTAATCACACAGCCAATCGCAGCCTCTGGTCAAAGCCAAGCACTATATGACTCATCACAAACCACTGACAGAGGAGCTCATTCAGCACGTCTTCTTGTTTGCACACGCACCGAGTAGTAGGGTCCATCATGTTTGCAGACTGTATAGGCTACTGTTGTGTATAGTTATAAAGACGTTCTTTCAAATGTTTTGAAGATGTTGGGAAATGGATCCTGGATTTTAAGGGGTGGGGTCAATGCACAATGAACATATCCCATGTCACCGTTTGGTCTAAATCCCTTTACCATCCCCATATGAGATAATATGTTGTATCTTTAAAAAATATTTTATCTGTGGCGTGTGTGTGTGTATATATATATATATGGTTTGTTATATATGATGCTCCTCCTTTCAGAAAAATATAACATGTAAACAGGAAAAACATATTGCTGTTTTTTTCCTTTGTATTTTATACTTACAGAAAGCATTGAATAAAAATGGATAAATACTTGCACTTTAGATATATTAAGAAAAATAAAAATCTGCATATTATTTTTGATAGGGATCTCACATTCAAAGAGTATAAATTACAGGCTTTGTGACTATTGCTGGACAGAGATGTATTGAGTTCTACTTATTGAAGTATATTTTGTCTGTGTGTCAGAAGGTTTACTAAAGTAAATTGCATGATAAAGTAGTGCTACACCGATATTGTTCTTTTTTTTAGTTGGTAAAAATGTCTGAAAACTGTGATAACAACCCTCTTGTATCATGTTTAACCTCTCCTCCCCTCTTCTAGAATATTTCTTACTGAAATATGGCCTTTCCTGACTACATGACGATGGTGCTTACTTTGGCTTTGACATCAAGCTCATCCTATACATCTCAACATCATCATAACTCGCGTCCTTACACTTCATTACTTTCTGTTATGTACTCTCACTACCTTATTAAATTTCCGTTGATGGCAAAAAAAAGGTGTGCTGTTTTGTACATTGCTGTTTGTTTTAATGTTGGGGGAGCCTTGTTGTCTGAAAAATGACTAATCGCGCAATAAAAAGTCATTCCACACGTCCCTGTCTCCGCACAACTGTCTCAACACTACAAACAAAAATGAAAAGAAAAATATTGAAATTCATTATCTGTTGGCTGAATATTGAACATTGTAGAATAGCCATTAATTATTGTTGTTTTAATACATATATGCATACAATATTGCATTGATTTATATATATATATAAAAAGACCATGTATGAACGAGATGAACTACCTGTAATCATTTCTATCTTTAGAGGAATTGTCCGAGCTGTGTTTGGAAAGCCTCTTTAGGTATTTATGAATAAGAAATGTACAAACATGATAGCAGAGTAACAACAAGTGGATGCAAAGATCGGATTTGAAACAGAGCTCCAGATACCGGCTTTTGACTTCCATGTTGAAATCAAAGGTAGAGCGCCACATTGTTGCCACAGTAGGAAAGACGACACGTTGTTGACAGTAACAGTATTAACTGTTATCGGCCAGGGGAGGATTTTTCAGTAGGCAGCAGGTCAGTGCACCAAACGCTGTAAAACCGACGGTGCCTCATATTAAATTCTCAGCTGTTGTGAACCAAACATTATAACCAGCAGATCTGGCGGCGGTGATGTGAAGAACAGTGGGAGTTGCAGGCTTAGATGATTCATACCCAAAGTGAAATTTTAACCACGAAATAGTTATAATATTCATGGGGTGGAGTGAGTGTGAGTGGTATGGAGACTTTAGGAGGTGGCAGACATACGCTGATATGTATTGATATATACATATTACAAAGTAAAGAACTGGGACAACACTTTTCAACTATCTATTCTAACACTATTCAACTTCCTTTTAATTTTGCCACGTGGACGTTTTGGGCAAGACATCCTTCTTCGCTGTGTATTGCCAAGTTCACAATCTACACAGGTGGAATTAATTATAGGTTATCCCAACTTGCACAACAAGTGATTTAATCACAATCTAGATATTTGCTTTTGAATTGAATAGAAATATCAAAAAGTGGCATTAGACATCAATAAATTATTTTACTTTCAAAATCTTAAGACATTTTTTCAAATAAATTCTCTTTTTTTATTGAACAATTCTCAAACTCTCAAATCCTTTTTTAGGGTTGGCAGCTGCCGGTAAGACACATACATGACCCTGCAGGTATTACACTGGAGATAGCGTACTGCTAACATACACCTTGGAAGCTACATCCTTACGTTCGTGGACAGGATATATTTTATTTGAAAAACACAGTCCCTCATTTTTCAATTGTGTGGCCTTTTTGAAGTCATCTGCTCTATATCAAACTAATGCAATTACAGGCTAACTGGAACTGAATGTCAAATTAGATTTAAGTACATTTTGGGTTTATCTAATCTGGGCTGTGTTATAAACTAGCTGGGGTTATTTTAAAATCTTAAGGAGCAGAAACATACCGTACTTACCTTCACCTTCAAACACAGTGGACGCTGCACAAATTCATGAAGCACCAACCGTGTTGCTGAAGACGCAACATCCAGAGGTTTCTTTGGTGAGTCTGATCGCCGCGTAACCATGCTGATACGTTTGTGAAACTAGCGAGCTGGCAAACTAGCTTAACACTCAATACACTTATGATGAAAAGAATATAAAATGACAATTTTAAAATGTTTTACCTTTTGAGATGTCAGAGAGAATCAGCATCAGGTGACGCAGCCGTTTGCAAAGGTTACAACAGACATCGTGACGTCCCAGCAGGAGAAGCTCAGGTGTTATGATTAAGTTAATTGAGACTGGATTTCATTTTACGAGCTTACAGTATTTTTCTAGCTTATGCTATTTGTGTCGCAGTAGCCTACATAGCTGCAAACTTTTCCAAAAACCTTGGAGTGAGAATTTGTCGGGGGTGACCAAAATTATGCCGCGCACGGATTTTGGATTAAGTAGATGAGATTTCCTGCATTCTAGTGGATTTTTGGGTGGTCTGCTAAAGATGTGCAATACCTGAACTTATACTGATTCATGTTCGGCATCATGACTTGTAGGGCCTTCTAGACTTGAGCTGAACATTCAACCAGAAAACTATTGTTGTGCCTAAATGACTGCCTGTATCAGAATAAAGCCTTATCCATAGACCAGTGTTTAAGATTGGACCTAGGCACCTGTAGGTTGATTGATATGTTGATTAGAATGGTATTAAACTGTGAGTAAATAAACAATGCAATGAGCTGATATTTTGAGCATGCAGTAGGCCTATACCATGAGGTTAACAAGGTGCTCTCCTGCTGCTTGTTATGACAGCTTTCACCACACTAAATCATGTTCACACGCACAAACAGATAATTTATATCAAGATTTAAAGTTTAAAGAGAGTGAGTACTCAATTGGACGACATTTCATTGTCACATACCTACTCTCAGCTCAGATCAAGGACAACATTTTGATTTCAGAGGTGGGGGGGACACAAGTATACATTTTTTTAAATTAATTTTTTTGGCCTTTTGATGGCTTTATTTATAGAGACAGCGGTGGTTGGCGGAGAGAGGGGGGATGACATGCAGCAAAGGGCAGCAGGTCGGATTCGATCCCGCGCCGCTGGGTCGCCAGCTCTACCGACTAGACTAACCGGCGGGCAACCCCAATACAACAATAGTAGTTCTTCTAGTTTTCTACTGCTACTTTTACGTTTACTGTTTCTTGCAACCTCTGATATTACCTGGGCAGCTCCAGCAGACCGGTGTGCAACGAAGATGGAGTGACAGCGGGGACGGCCAATCACACAAGAAACAGCAGAGCCACTCGAGGAGCTTGTGGGCGGGTCTAAACTAACAGGCTTCACCTTGAGCGGCCGTTTTCCGCTTGGTCCTAGTGCTTGACGAGTCTTAGTTTACTATAACGCAGCGGTTCTCAATTATCCCCCCCCTGAATTTGAATACATTGAGAAACTGATCATATTTATTTATTCATCTGTACAAACCACTGTATGAGTTGCTGGCACCATACAATCACCTGATTATCAAAATAGATTCATAAAATGAGCTGAGATAACATCTGCAGCAACTAAAAACAATTTCCAAGGTCAGTTTATTAACTCAATTTGTAACATTTAAACAAGACTGCTCAGTCTGTGTGATTCTCAAAACAGAGAAAAAAGTGCAAATGATTCACTGGGATGTGCATTTTTATAGACTTAACACAGTAACATTCAAAACGTTTTTTAAACATTGGTCACTTGGCTTCATCAGCTTATTCCTTTTCAGAAAGGTATCTGACTTTACACATTTGGGGGTTTTTTGTGTAAAATTTGCAACAATATTGTTTATATTTAACGTTTGTCTGTTAGATGTTCTGTGAGTTGTTCTTGGAGGTCGTCTGAAATGTCACACACACGTCTCCCGATCGTGTCATTGGACAGAGGGACAGTATTCAGTGTCTCAGCACTTTCCTCACCTATGATTGTGACCATGTCCAATGCTGTCCGAGTATTAGCTCCTCTGCTGTTGTGTGATGGTTTTTTTTTTGCACCTTGCGATGTGGCAGTGTTTGCACGAGGATAACGGTGTGTTTTTATTTACTGATGCCGCGCTCACTAAATGACCGGCCTGTTGGTGATACTCATCGAGTATCCGATGAAAAAAGTCCAGTGGCTTTTTGACATAACTGGGGTGTAAGGTCTCCAGGTGCCGTCTTTTTACTCCTGTCAGAAACTTCTCCATCTCTCCTCCTCCGTCAGTCCCCCCCGACACCTCACTATTTGAGAAGTACTGCTGTAGAGTAACATTTTTGGACGGTACAAACTGCAGGGGACTAAAACGGCCCAAAATCGGCAAAAAATTTTGCGTGAGAAATTGGATGTGTGGCGTGAGTGCGTGTGAGTCTGAGTGTTGGCAGCTCTGTGAATCTTACCTTCATGTTTCACACACAGAGTATTTTCTCAGTCTGTTCGCATCTGATAGACTTTCTTTGTGAGCTCCTCATCTTCTGATGTGACCTTCAGTGGCTCCATGTTTGTTGGTAGCTGTTACAACATCAGTCCAAATACCCCGTCTGTAGGTTAAAGTGGGTTTACTCGACACTTTTGGGGTTTAAGACAAACCTTTGTAGACACACAGTTACGAATATATAAAATATAGTTTTAAAATATTTAAACCAACTCACATTTTCAGTCATTTACATAAAGTGTTAATCTGCCAATGTGTTACTGTGCTAACCTTTTATAGCTCTTTCCTTACAGATATATTATTAATCTTATTACTACTATGGTGAGGTTTCAACTTGTGTTACAAGGGCCACTTCCCTGTACCTGTTTTATTTTTATTTTTTATGTCCCCAAGACAAATTACTGCATATTTTGTGTAAAATGTGGACAAATGCTTATTCTAAGAACGCTCATTATTTAACCTCTTCACCCATAAATCACAGTAAGAGGAAGTCCAGGGTGAATCATACTGGGGCTGGACAGTGCACTAAAAAAGCTTTTAAAAAATGAGTGATGTTACCAAATATTATTATTATTATTTTTATTAAATGTGTATTTGGTTACTTACAGGAAGGAACTGATAAAGGAAAATATTTTTAAAATGTGGACAAATTAGGTCATTATTAGTACAATGATCTTATGGATTATTATTGGATACACCAACATGCTGACATACCATGCTAAACATAAAAGGAAATGTTTATCTTGTGCCACCAATCCAAAGACATATAGGCTGAGACCAGTCAGCTCAATAGGCTATATCAAAAAAGATTACAGTATTTTGGTTTCGTAGCTAAAATGTAATTATAGTTCAGTCATTTCACAGTCAAAACAACCAATAATAATAATAGCCATGCATATTTGACACTTATCTGTGTCAGCAGCCAGTATCATGTCACAAGTTTACAAATGTAATCAGTGTTTCTTCAGCTGCTGTTGCAGAAGAAATACTACGAGAGGGAAAGCTTTAGGTTTAAATGCATTAAAAGGAAAATGGGGATATCATATAGCACTGAGTTACACTGTAAGTTACTAGAAGCTGCTCATTGTTTTGCCAAAGCTATGAAAGCTACATCGATACACAAGAAGTCATTCTGTCTGTCTCTGTTTTTGTGAAGTTAATATAGTTTATGTATTATGGCAGGATACATAACATATGCAGTAATCATACATGTATCAAATATCATACTGGCCCTGTTTTGTGAATCTGTTTTGTTCTATGGGACTTTGGTTGCAGCCACCTGCTGAGATACGGACTGTAAAGGTGATCTTGTTCCAGGATGAGTAGACAAACTGTGTCTGTTTGTCTGTGACTATCAGGTGCTTAAATGCTTACAACTTTGGTCTAGTTAACAGCTGTGTTTTTACAGGATTTGATTAACAAGCTAACTTTCATATTTAGCTTGTAAATGCAGGCTGAATATATCAATAAGCATGTATGTTGGAAATTTTGTATGGCGCTAAAATTTTGAAGAACATTTCTTCACATAACACAAATTAGTATCTATATAATATTAAAAATGGCACCCGGGTTTGAAGACGACTGCAAACCTTGTTTAGTAGCTGATAATCTTAATAAATCACAACCACAATCATCTGTATAAAAGCTTACTTTATGAAGCACAGACTAAATATTCAGTAAATATGTCCTTTACATAGTATGAGCATCCTGTCAAAAAACAGTTCCGATATACAAACAAAAAGACAGATCCAATGCTGACATCAAAGTGCCGAAGTTGTCATTTTTTAAATAAAACATAACAATCAACAAATATTTTTCGTCACAATCCTATATTACAGCACAGGCCTACCCTAGAACATTGGGAAACAATGGTTAGCACAACAGCCAAAGTGACTATAAGGGGAAGTCTCCCTGTAAGAAAGCAGTTATTTATCCTAACAATACAGCTTTATAAAATGGTACTTCCTCTCTGAAAACTCAACTCCACTTCAGCATTTTGGTCTGTACAAGGATCCGGTTCCAGGATTCCAGCTGCGATTCCAGGTTTCCAGCCAAGTCCCAAAAGGATCTCAGACCCCATCAGTCACTATTAATATGATATATATAGGAAGCAGCAGAAGCGCTGTGTCCAGAGCCAAAGACATGATAGTTCATACTATTGATATCCACGGCTCTGGTTATGTCAACATGCCTCTGTGCCACACCGAGGCTGAGTGAGGGGGCACTAAGCTCACTGATCTACAGTTGTGTCATAAGCAAATTACATAGAAAGAGGAAAGGGGTGTGTGTGCGTGTGTGCGTGTGTGTGTTTGGGTGGGTTGGGCTCAATTAAGGTGCTCACAAACAGCGGTACCGCCACCCCTCCTACCACATCCCCACTTCCTCCATACACAAGACCTCCTTCCATAAGAAACAGGCTTAATCTGTTGTGTTCCTCCGTTTGGAAACATATGTGCTGGCCGACTGTTTTGCCTCTTCTTGGCTGTTAAAGACAGCCTTACTTAGAAAACCAAACCAGCGTCTTTCCTTGAAAACAAGTCTTTTCTCCTCCTCCTTGTTCACGTGGAGGATGTTTTGATGGCTACTCTGCTGGTGGAGTTGTTTTGCTGCTGTTCCCCTTTTCATCCCAGTATGCTGACAGGTTTCTTGACTTAAGCACGTTAAGCTGGAGCAGTCCCGCTGCTACACTCTCCAATCAGCCGGTCTCTGTCTAAGATTGACCGAAGCCTGCTTTCCCAAAAACATCTTCATCTGTTAGGAAGGATGGCAGTGGAAGGAACACACCGGTACTAGTAAATGCCCAATGTGAGGCCAAACAAGCTATAATAGGTCCATGTAACATGTTATAAATCAGAACGCAGACCGATTTTCTGCTTTAAGAGGTAAAGGTACATCTTTTGTCACGAGGTTGATGGCGTTCTTTGTGCTGAAGATGCTTTTGAGAGATCCAGGCCTGATTGTGATGGCAGTCTTATTCAGCAGAAGGCCATTGGATTGTTTCTAAACATGCTCAATAAATTCTTCATACAAAAACATGACCCTGCTATATTTACTTCTTCCTGTTGCCTACATCTTCAACATCTCAACTGGAACCAGTTAAAAAAAGAGCATGCACACACGCACACACACACACACATGCATGTGCACACACACACACATACACCAGCTGACCCACTCACACGGTATGCGCCTCCCTCCCACACTTTTCTGTTCTGTCCTTCATGTCGATCTTCAGAAACATCACACCCAACCATAAATTGTTACATATCAGCTCCTTTAGCTCAGTGCACTCTTCTGTGATATAAGAGGAGTAGTTTGTGGGATAAAACAGAACATGGCACAGTGCTTTCATTCAGCCACATACTGTTATCCTCTCCATTAGAGAGTTGTAGGAAAAACAAACAGAATAACTGAATACGTGTCAGTATTTGGGGTAGCGGCAGCTTACAAATCACAGAAACAGACTTGTGATCTCTCCGACAAAGCGACTGACTTACACTCCAAATCCCTCAACAACTAGTGTCAAGGTGCCCTTGAGTAAGGCACTCAACCTCCAGTTCCTCTAGTGGAACAGCTTGGTGAACAGTTAAAACCACGGCCGTTTACGCTTGGCAGCTCCTTTAAACTTACAAATTCATGTAACTGTATGAAATGTCAAGAAGGAAATTGCTGAAAAAGAGCAAGCACGCTCAGTGTAAACCCCTTCCTGGGGCGAATAAAGGTTTGTAGAATTAAATAAATAAATAAATATGCTATACATGGCAGGGACTAGATCCTTCTGAGAAGTTCTTTTGTAGCTCTTGGACAGATATGTTGCATCTTCACACACCACAGTCCACCCATACTTTAGGTCCGTACACACGCCTGTGAGTGGCTGGCTGGGTGTGTAAACATGAGAGAAATAAAAAGGCCAGAATGCTACAGTAGTACCATCTCCGTCTGAATGACTGCCTGACTCCTGGACTGCAGGACAGAGAGGACAAACCAGTCTGTCTCTCTTTCTTTGTTCTCTATCTGGCCTTAAAATAATACATTATAAATTACTCAAAGTTCTGCTCAGAACTTAAAACACATTTCAACCAAAGACAACTGCATTGCTCTGAGTGTTCATTTCAAAATAATACTGATGTTATAAATAGTGATCACAGTTCGGATCATTTTATGTGCAATAATAAAAGTTTGAAGAACTGAGGTTTGGCGGGGTCACTTGTTGGGTATCAAGCGCGGGCTCTTCATCTTCTTCATCTATTGCTCAAGGACAGAAACTTATCACCAGGATTGATAAATTCTGGGAAGGGTAGTGACAGTCAGGAGGAACGGAGAAGCCCAAAACACACAAAGAAAATGAATGCAAGAACATAGTAAGAAGTTGGAGGATTAAGCTAGTTTGGCTTGGAGGGATGTAGTTTTGTGGGCTGTGATCTCTGGTCCTCCTTCCTCCCCTCAGCTCCTCTGTCCCGTGGCAGTGCATCCAGCGGTTCTCCCATTCAGTCCGCCGTGGGCTTGACTGATGGACGGGGAGGACTGCGTCTTGCGGAGGTGACACTCGCGGCTGGCCAGGCCACCCTCCATGATCAGGCCACCCATCACGCTGGCCTCGATCTTCTCAAGGTCATCCGTCTCAGCGCGGATTTTGGCCTGAAGGAGGCTGATGTACGTCTCATACCGAGTCTTCTGCTCAGAGAGAGGGGAGGAGGAGGGAGGCAGTGAGAGCAGAAGATGAAACAAGAGTTTTAACGCTCTGTCACCTGAGAACTGGCTTTAATTATGATAGCTTGAATATATATATATATATATATATATATATATATATATATATATATATATATTAATTTTGACAGAGGTTCTGTTTTATATTTTGCCTGACTGAGGCATTAATGTGAGGACTGACACCTCTAGGACACCTAAAAAGTTACATTACATTTTTCAATTTATATGTTATAAAAGAAACTGATAACGTTTGAATTATCACAAGATTGTATATGTGCTACCTGAACGTCTACCTTGCTTTTAATATTATAAATTAAATATTAAATGATCTACTAAACAGCAGTAACACTGCAGTGCTTTTTTCTGTTCGTATCTAAACAAAGCAAAAAAACATAAAAACTGAATATATAAAGTCTGTACCTCGTACGTGAGGTAGTGCTCTTTGAGCCGGAACTCCTCCCACTCGCGGCTTTTGGGGTCGGCTGAGGGCGAATTTTTCCGGTGCTCCTCCAGCTCCAGGCTCATCTGCTTCAGCTTGCTCTCATGACTCAGCAGCTGCTCCTCCTGCACCAATCACAGGCCGGATGAAAACCGGAAGACCCCCAAAACAGCAAATCAGATGCAAGCGGACACAAATAGAGTATGTAAAAACGCCCAACCCTGCATAGAGATTTTTAATGTAGAAGGATGGTGCATGCTGCTGTGATAAACTCTATATTGTGTACAATGCAAAATATCAATCATAACTAGACATTTATTGTAGTGCTGACAATAATATATTATGTATTATATCTAGAGCAAAACATAAGCCAGCAGAGTTTCATAGCTGCCCTTGTTCCTAATGCATGTCATCATCTGTGTGTGTGCTGTCTGACTTAAGCTCCCTTAGACTAAAGACCAGTTAATTGGGGATAGCTCGACCTATCAGGGACAAAAGCCGTGTCCCCAAAGAGAAAAAAGATTATTTTTGGGTCAGTAGTTATGGTTCCTGTTAGGGTAAGTCTCCAGGAAATGAATTTAAGTCTGTGTGTCTGTGTGTTTGTCTGTGTGTGTGTGTGTGTGTGTGTGTGTGTGTGTGTACCTGTTTGAGTCGGGTGGATGAGGACGGCAGGATGGGCCGACAGAACTTCTTCATGGAGCCGATGGCGGCGGGGAAGGCCGGAGCGGAGAATAGCGCTGCCACCAGGTTTATCCGGAAGATCCAAGACATCATCTCCTCCTCGCTACTAGAAAGCCAGAGCGAGAGTAGAGTGAGGGGTTGATGAAGGGCCAGGGAGCAGGCGAGTGCATCCAATGAAAACTGCTGTTAAATGTTTCTTTTGCTACACTGACACAGATTCTCCTTTATATTATCTCATCATCTACAGCTAGTATCAACTATTATTCTGACATTGTGTGCCTAAATTCAAAATCATAATCTTTAAGTCTTAAATGACATATTTTAAATTCAATTTGATTTATTTTCCCGTTCACAGTCGCAGTGCTGCAGATTGAGTTTGAATTTCAGCTTACATATCACCTGTGACTGCCAAATTCTGCACACACACAAAAGGAGGCTGTATGACCTTCGAGAGGAGTTTGATTCATACGCTGGAACGTTTGATTTTTATCAAAATGACAAACCTCACATAAACACAAGGAGAGATTCTTCCTGTCCACGCAAGATAAATTCCGCTGTGTGGGATTTAAAATGACAGCGGACTCAGGTATCACAACATCCTTATCCAACCTTCTCGCTACAATCTGCATTATTAAGTACTTTATAAACTCTGTTAGGATAGAGGCGCTACACAGGCTGGCATCAAAGTGTTTGGACGATGCCACAAATTGAGAACAAATACAGTTATTGTATTTATTTGCTGTACTTTTGAGTTTTCTGAAGCGTAAAGATCATCAGACTTACGAGGCTTGCAGCAGAAAGACTCTCCAGTCTGACGTTTTGAGCTTCAGTACGTTGGCTCTCTTGCTGTAGTCAGTGGCACGAGTGGCTAAAGCGTGGTGGATCCGCACTGCGTTCTTCAGGTCCACCTCTGAAATGTCGGCGTCAGGCTTGTACTCATCCTGGGTAAGGCAAACAGGAATTGTAAGTCTCATTTTTTGGAGACCATTTTCTCTTTTATAGAAGATAAAAATGCCTACATCGACTCACTCCTCATCCTCCTGAGGAACATCATTAAACTCATTAAATGAAACATTAAATCTCTAAATTAGTGACTCTTTTTATATCCATACTAACATAATCAAGTTAAAACCCAGTTAAAATATTAAATATTATATTAAAATTCTGTTCATTCAAGTCTAACATTTCACAATCTTACATGTGGTTAGTTGAGCCTACCAGCAGGGGGAGACAAACACACAGTAGAGAAGCCATGCCTCATCCCCTCTTTTAATGCTCTGTATCTGAGTCCCCCCCCCTCTCTCTCTCTCTCACACACACACAAGCACACACACAGAGCGGAGCAGCTAGCAGCATCCACCACCGCAATGACAGCGGTGGTGGATGTGTGTTTCTATGGTAACGCAGCAGAGGATGAGATGCGGTACCTTCTGGAGATACAAGATCATCCCCTTCAGAACAGCATAGAACTTCTTCCAACCACGGCGACCCCTCGGGGCTGGGAGAGAGGAAAACAACGACAAAAATAACTTTTTATGTTACATTTACAAATATTGATAGTAACTTATTAAGAATTTGGTAACTTCAGTCAAGCCTGAAGTGTGTGTGTGTGTGTGTGTGTGTGTGTGTGTGTGTGTGTGTGTGTGTGTGCGCGTGTATACAATCACTCACTGCGTTTGCCGTCCATGTCTGCATGGCTCTTGCGGGTCAGCACTCCATGTTTGTAGGTGACGGCATTTAAGAGAATGGGAATGGCGATGAAAGGGTTACTGCCGTCCGTTACCCTGGCAACACGCTTACTCCCGCCCTCACACTGCTCCTCCACCAGCTCTGATAGACTCTTCCTCAGCTCCTCCTCCTCACTGCACACACAAATACCCATTCAGACAAACCTGAGTAGCACATATTCAAGTGTACTTACTCCTTAAAAACTTGCATACTCCAAATACTTTTCCTTTTGATGAACACAAAATGCATACTCACACTGCCCACTCAAGCTTCTCATTCTTGATTGAGTTATACAAGACCTGTGTGGGTGAGGCAATAAAAGAGAGAAATTCAAAATTTTTTGTCTTCTTGGATTTCTTTTACTTCACTACAGAGTGGGAATGTAAAGATATACTTCAATTCTGAGGTTAGGAAAGAGGGAAAGATTGAGCCTTCCTCTCTCAGGAGAGCATCTGTACCTTCAGCAACTCTTTAGGGAAGTCTTTCCCATTGTTGAGGCCATCTAGATTACTGATAAACTGTTGGCAAGACATCTTCTTCCCAATGTTCTGAAGAGAGGAGACAGACAAATATAAACAAAACAGTTCAGGTTTAGGATCATATTTCACCTTGATTTTTTTTGTTGTGTGGAGCCAAATTAGCCAGTCTTATACTGAGCTCAGTACCCAGATAACAACTATTATAATTAATACAATATAATAAATATAATGTTATATAACAAGTAGCTAATAATTTCAACCCACTATTAAATGCTCAAATCTGAATGCAGTTTTGCAACCATCCACTGGGTGGCAGTGTGACGCTGCTGGTTCTACTGGTGGTGGTGAGTGGGGCTCCACTTCTATTAAAGCTTATCCAGTATCAGCTTACCAAACCTTTCCTAGTCTTTTAACGAAAAAATGTCCCCTTTCCTAGGAAAAATACCAAAAACAAACCTCCAGATGGGAAGTAACTATTGTTAATTCATTATTATTAATAGGTAACATGGTTCACAGACACAATCCAACTGGATGAATGATATATACATATATACAATGATATATACACATATATATATATATATATATATATATATATATATATATATATATATATATATGTATATATATATTATATTTTCATGCAAAGGTAGCAGGACAGTGCACTCTTTTACGTTAAAATCTTATATTATAAAATGTATTCGAAACTGAATCTGCTGTTCCCTTTGTGTTTAAATGTATTAAATGTATATAGATGTTATGATTTTCATTGTTGCAGAGGGGAAAAAGGGACAGATCAATTCTAACAGCTAATATGAAAACTGCATTTCATTTGAATTAGAATAAATTTTGTTTAGTTTATTTCGGTCATTTCAACTTATACAACCCAAATACACGTGTAAGTAAATAAATAAATCAAAACAAAGCAACTTATACTAACAGAAAAGATGTAAGCTGAAGCTTTAGCTTATTGCACCCACCCTTTTTACACATTAGGCTATATGTATTTTTATACAACATACCCAAAAATCCCCCAAATCAGCTACTGGCCATTTCTCGTTGGTAAAAATATTAAAGCAGCCAGATATTTTTGTGCTACTGAACAACAATTATTTAAAAAACATATCACTGTGTGTGCATTATGATATCAGTTTTAAAACTATGACTTCTATTGTTAGCTGACAAGACTACTACTATAATCATACTTACCACCTGCGGGGGCAGAGAGAGACCAGGGGGCCAGATTTGGTTAGCAGGGGAAGGATTTGAAAGGGAGGGAAAGGAAATTGAAAAGAAAGAAAGGACATTAGTTAGAGGAGGGATATTCACTAAATGTACTATTAGCAGGGACAGAGTCGAGTGGAGCAGGAGGGTCGAGGAAAAGCAAAGCACAGGGCCTATGATACTGATCGTGTTATGCTGCCCCGACCACAGTGCTCCAGTTTAAAACTGAACAGATGAGACTATCCGAGGAGAGGAGAGACAGAAACAGGTCAGAAAGTAGGCCATGGAAGGGGAGAGAAAGACAAAGAGAGAGGAAAGGCTAGAGAGAAAGGAATAGATGTGAACTGAGACGTGCCATTCCTGACAAACGACTGTGTTTATAGTTTTTGTTTTGCAGGAGGATAAGGGGATTGGGAAACCTGCAGAACCAGTACATACATGTCCGTGTAGATCGGTGTTAAGCAGCATAAGGGCGCAGGTTAATGTGTGGGCTCCATCTGCAACAAGATAATACACAAGGACGAGGTCAGCTAAATGTCACACACAAATTAATGTATACAATGCCACACATTCCTTTATTGTACATGCAGACACACATCATGAATAGCCAACAGACAGTTAGTGCTGTATCTGAATTGATTCTGTATTTACATCTATCACAGTCACATTTGAAGGTTTATGCAAGTAGCAGCAAGTCGTGACAAGGTTCCCACTCTTTTTAAGGACCAGTCCAAGATAGTTTTTCTTGACAATACAGGACAGCACTAGTCCACAAACGGTTATATAATTTACTGGGAGACCTAGAACTGACATATATAACCCCAATTTTACTCCTCATTTACTGTGGAGCGGTCTCTGGTGAATTTACTACAATTTACTACAGATTTCCACTAACAGTAACAAGCCAATTAAAATAGGAAGAAGAATGTGAAAGTGTTGTGTACAATTAAAAACGGTGTGCATGTATTTATCACCCACAATTTGAGCATTAATAGGCCGTGTGCATGTAAATATGACTACAGTATTTCCACTGGGCTTCTCTCCGCTGGCAGCTCCGGAAAAGTGGACTAAAGGCCGAAGAGACTGCTGCAGGTCAGTCTGGTAAACCCGCTTTGAAGAGTCATACCAGGACAACATAGATAATTTCCAGGATATTTGGTTATATTAATCAATTTCCAGGTGTTTCCATCACTGGAAAACTATTCTAAATTTCCAGGATGAGTGGGAACCCTACATAAGTGTTTGGTCAACATGGAAAAGTGCAATAATAATGTAAAATCAATTGATATTTATGGTGTAATATTCTGTACAGCTGTTATGACATTTTGTTTTCTCTTGACAATATTGTTTCTCATTACCATCGGTGTCATCATCATCATTACCACCACCCTCACGACTCTGACCTTCAGAGGTGGGTGTCTGTGGGTTGCAGTGGCAGAAGCGTCTGGAGAAATGAACAAGGACCCTCTCTCTCTCCTGGGTCTCTCCCATCAGTGGAAAGGCCTTTAAGAAGTTCCTGTCACACACAAATCAAACCACGAGGTCAACAGGAGGTCAAAACGTTTCCCAGTAACGCATCTCAGGAAAATATATGATTTAAATCACTTCTGGCAGTAAACAGAATACGTGGAACGATAGAGCTGACAGCTTTGTTGGAAATATTATGAAACATTTTATTCTTTAAACTATAACAGCCTGCTTTTTAAAACTTAGCCTTATGGTCATGTACTCTGTATTTTACTCTCACAAAAGAAGGATTGTGTCATCTTTTTGTCTCCGTGAACTCGTTGCACTTTTGACCTGCAGATAAATGGATCTGATTTTGTAACTGTATGCCAGAGTCAACAGGTTTCTTACAGGTTGCAGTCTCACTTTCACATTGAGGAGAAACGTTAATGTAGATGAATTAGAGTAATTATTAAGTAGTCTATTGTAAGAAAAATAATCTACAACTATTTTGATAATCAAATAATTGTTTCAGTCTGTTTTTTAAGCTTAAGCACTAAATATTTGCTGGTTCTAGCTGCTTAAATGGGAGAAATTGCTATTTTTGTTGTATATCATTGTACATTTTTTCTTTAGGTTGGAAGAAATATGACATTTGAAGATGTCCCCATGCACCCTGAGAAATTGTTTACACTTGAATACACTTAATGATTAACCTATGATTAAAAATAATCATTAAACACAACCCTACATTATTACTCCCGCTCCTAATTTTAAAGTTTCAGAAAAGAATAAAGATTAAAAGAATTATTTCTATGCTGTCAGATTACTGCAGTTTCATTAAACCAGACTTTTAGTCTGTTACATGTTACTTTCAAACTGTGATAAGATAATCTGGCCCACGCTGAGGCCTCTTAACTGAACAGCCTGAGCTGAACGCAGCAGTTTGAGACAGCACCATGTCAGGTACAAGGCAGTGATGTACTCCGCAGCTGTCAGCTACACTGGCTAACTGTACTCAACACGACAGCTTGATTAGCACAAAGCTAATGCCCTGTGAAGAGGGAAAGTGAAGAATACACACAAGCATGCGTGTGTATCGATGTCTACATCACACACTCATCACTTCCAAGTGCTGACTGTGCATTACCTCAGGGCTCGATCCAGCGACAGGCCGGAGAAATCAAAGAAACTCAGGTACTCTGATGCCACCAACTGGCTGAACTCGTTACTGCAGGGAGACAGAAAGAGAGCATCAGCACATCAACGTGGCACTGAAGACGTCTGAAAGTGTTATATAAATGTTTTTTTTAGCACCACTGGATGAGAGAAAGCTCTTCCAGTTAAGAATAAATTAAGCTTGTGCAGATGTGTTTGATTATAAATCAATCATGTGCGTCTACGTGTCCATTATATCTGTCTCACCTATACACGTGTGCATTTCAAATACTGACCATATGTAACTATGTCAACATGTTTTCCTCTGTTTCTGGTGATTTGTCAGTCCATCAGTCATCGTGTGTGTGTGTGTGTGTGTGTGTGTGTGTGTGTGTGCGCGCGCTCACTTCTTGCCCAGGTGTCTGGCCACATCGCAGCGTTTGAAGCCCTCGAGGTGATAGAGGCGCTTGGCCAGCCTCTTGGCGGCCTCACAGTCGGCTCGGCAGCCATTGGCTAGTGTGTCTGTGCTGCCGCGCTCCAAACGCTCCAGACTGCCCAAATCGCACTCCTCTGAGTCAGACAGCACGTCTGTGAGGTTGGCATCACTGTAGGAGAGGAGAACATACGCACACACACAAACACACACAGGCAGGTGCATAGGTTAATGAATGGAACACATGTCCGTTGTTACAAGCCCACTCACTTAAAATGAGACAGAGGAAACTGAACTGCTGAGCATAAAACCCAATTACATAAACATATGTTCACACACACACAAACAAAAGTCAAATGAGGTTTAAATGCCTTGTTATGACACTGACCCAGTTTCACTGTCACTTAATGTCCCACGTTAATGCAGTGAATCTAAAGGCTGATTATAATGCTGAAGCAGCTTTCACCTGCCTCAATCTCCTCCAAAAAGCTCCACTAATCTCACACTGTTAACCTCTAACATCATTTGAATTTAAGTGCTATAATATAAAAACTAATACCTCGTTTCCACTTTTCCGGTCCTGCATATCAGGCAAATACAGCCCGGAAGTTAGAAAAGTGAGCATTTCATTTTTAGAGGTCCATATAGTGAACAATGTAATGCTCTCTCTGGTCTCAACAGCTGCCATCAAGTTGCCCTTGAGCAGAACACCCAATCTCAAACTGAACGAGTAAATTGGCCATTTCATGCTTATCACTAGGCTGTCTATCCCAGCTGTGAATGGGTGTATCTGTGTGACTATGAAACAGGGCGTTTCTGCTGAAAGACTGAATGTACTCAATCACCCCGGCAGGAGTAGTTAAGAAAAAATTTAATTATTTTGCCAAACAGTTGAAGACACAAGCGAGGACACGCAGCTTTTACTGCTAAGTAATGACTTGCAAAGTCTGCACAAATGACAGATTGAAGTTTGAAGTTTTAATCCCTCGCTTTGACATTGCAATAAAATATTGTTTCAAGCTAAAATGCATTGAAACTCAAAAATATGTTTTTCTTCTTCTTCCTACGGTTTGATGTTTGAGCTTCACTGTGCAGAACAAGCTACGTGCAGGACCAATATGCAACTTATGCCAGTGTGATGGAGAGAGCTGCAGCCACCAGTGCACGGACACTGAGACTGAGACTGGACTTTACAGTGAAGCAGGAGACATCTTGTGTCCAGCAGGAACAACATTTAAGTATTCATAGATTCTGGGATTTTTAATGAGGTAGAAAGAGTAGATGCCTTTTTAAAGATCCAGTGTGTAACATTGAGGATCTATTGTCAGTAATGGTACAACATGGGTATATTTTCATTATTGTTTAATCACCTGAAAATAAGAACTGTTGTGTTTTTGTTACCTTAAAATGAGCCATTTATAGCTACAGAGGAGTCCGCTATATGTTGAACTGCCATGTTTCTACAGTTAACCCAGAATGGACAAACCAAACATTGGCTATAGATAGGAACTTTTGCGTTTTTTTGTGAGTTTTGCGGCCACTGTAGTTCCTCCTACACGCTTGGAAGGTGTGTGCTATTCAGTTGGTGGCAATCTGCTTCACTTCAACTTCACAGCTAGATATCATTAAATCATCCACACTGGTCCTCTAAGGAGTTTAATGTGGAAATGATACTAAAATTACTAATCAGACGGTCAGACACAGTTCTGGAACTGTACTGTCTTCCTTCCTCTTCACCACCTACACTGCAGACTTTAAGTACTGCACTGAGTCGTGTCATCTGCAGAAATTCTCTGATGACACGGCTATTGTGGGGTGTGTTGAGGGTGGGAGGGAGGCTGAGTACAGGGACTTGTTTGACCGCTTTGTGAAGTGGTGTGGGGAGAACCACCTGCAGCTGAACGTGGCAAAGACGAAGGAGATGGTGGTGGATTTTAGGAGGAACAAGCCCCTGCCCTCTCCTGTCAGCATCGGCGGGACCGATGTGGATATGGTGTCGGCGTATAAGTACTTGTCACACTAGACAATAACTGGACTGGTCCACAAATACAGAGGCCGACTACAAGAAGGGCCTGAGCCGGCTTTACTTCCTGAGGAGGCTCAGGTCCTTCAATGTCTGCAACAGGATGTTGCAGATGTTCTATCAGTCTGTTGTGGTGAGCACCATCGTCTTTGCTGTGGTCTCCTGGGGTGCGGGCATCCAGGCAAAGGACGCCAACAGACTGAACAAACTCATTAAAAAGGCTGAATCTGTTGTTGGCTTGAAGCTTGTCACCCTGGAGGAGGTGGTGGAGAAGAGGATGCTGGCAAAACTGCTGGCAATCATGGACAATCTCTCCCACCCCCTCCACACAACACTGGACAAGCTAAAGAGCAGCTTCAGCAACAGACTCATTCAACCACGCTGCTCTAAGGAACGATACAGAAAATCGTTCCTCCCCACTGCAATAAGACTGTATAACTCATCTTCCTCTGTCAGATCCACAATCACAGAACTGGACTAACTCTACCTGTGGAACATCTATTTCATCATGTGATATGTGTTAATATAAACCATGTTGATATTATATATCATATTTATACAATATATTATTATATTAATAATATTATTATTATTATTACTATTATTATATAACAATATAACAATAAGATATTATCTATTGTATGTATATCTTTCTTGTACAGTCAAGTATCTATTATACATATGCTATATATCATATCATATCTTGTATATATATATATATATATGTGTGTGTGTGTGCGTGTGTGTATGTATGCACACTTTGCACAGGCTGAATATATGACACGTTTACATTATATCAATATTAATGTATAATATCTATGTGTATACATGTATATCTGTTCAGTCATCATATTATATATATATATATATATATATATATATATATATATATATATTCTATCTAAGTATTTTATTCTATTGTTGTATTTTAATGTACCTGGCTGCTATGACGACCCAATTTCCCTCCGGGGATTAATAAAGTCTATCTATCTATCTATCTATCTATCTATCTATCTATCTATCTATCTATCTATCTATCTATCTATCTATCTATCTATCTATCTATCTAAAACTTTATCAGACAGCCATTATTGTTACTAGATCATTTGGATCATCTGGCATCTGGTTCCAGATTATTTTATCTTTAAATATAGTGAATTTAAAAGTATTGGGGATGATTATAAAACCAGCTTCCTCTCCGGCTCTTCCACAAGCTGCCATCCATTTTTACTTGCAGACACATTTTAACACAAGAACTAAAATAATTCAAAGCTGCAATGTTATTGAGTTGATTATTTGGAAAATAGAAACAGCTTACTCAACTAAAAAAACTAAAGAAAACCTAAAGACTTAACGTGAAAATGAGGCCATCACTTCATACAGTGTCCTGGTGAGGGACAGAGTTTAATGAACTGTCTAATCAGGCCAAGGCCTCACATTCCATATAACTGTTTAAGTGTCATCAAGAGGACAGAGAGAATCGATGCAGAGTATTAATTAGTGCCCTACTTATTTATTTATGACTTACGGAGGTAGTTTTAAGATATTGAGTTGTGTCCACTGTATGGCTACACACCCCACAGTCCATCAGTGGGAAGTTAATTAGTCTTTTTATTGTAATTTATACAATCAGTGTTGTTCTGTTTTAATTACTAGTTAAAAAAAACATTTTGTTACTTTTGCTACTTCACTTCTTCACATTCAAGCAAAACAGCGTAACATTTAATATCGTCCATGCTAAAAGGAACATGTATTTAGGAGCAGATCAGCACAGAAAAAACAGCCAACTATCAGTTTTAATTCTTATGAAGGAGATTGCACACTTTCACCTCGATCAGTCTAAATGGCATTTCCTCATTTCCTGTCTGTGTGTGCATCTGCGTGGCATCGTCAGCATTCTCGCCAGATGATTCAGATGTTTTTTGCATAATCTGATCAGCCCAATTGCATTACCCTCACAAATTCAATACATTACGCACTGTTGTCGAAAGGGATTTACTGGTTACCAAGGATACAGCGGATGCCAAGTGTCCTGAGCTCGAAGAAGAAGAAGTAAAGGGATTGTGGACAACCTCAAGGCCGTCTATCAGAAATTTGCATCAGGCATCAGAAAAAACAAACAAAAAACATGCTGATACAAAACACTGACAAATACCAACAACCAATCACAACAACCAGTTTCTAGAACCAGGAGTCAGTCTGCCTTCACATGCTAAATGGCTGACTACACACTACACTCCTATAACTGAAATCTACAAAGGGCCCTGACTTCGCCCCCCCAGGCAAGGTTGCGCTGTCCCGTCATGGCTGATTCATTAGGCTCTTAGAACTGCTCTTCATCTGGCCCCTGACCTTGGACCAATTTGCCTTGGGAGACCCTACAAGGAGCTATTGCCCCCAACAACACAGTTCCCAGGGTCACAGGGATACATAAACCCTCCACCATGATGAGGTGGTCATGCAAACTCCCCTACCTTATCGCAGTGGAGCATCACTCCCAATAATGACAATAAGGCTGCAGACACAGACAGTGAAAGCAGTTTCATTTGCAGGGTGCCTGAGCTCTATCCTTGGGGACAGGGTGGGAAGTTTGTACATCCGGAAGGCGTAAAATAACCGGTCCTTTTTTTTGTAGAGAAGGAGCCAGTTGAGGTAGTTTGGGGATCTGATTAAAATGCTTCCTGCGTGGTTCCCTCTGGAGGTATTCTCAACATGTCCAACAGGGAGGAGACCTCTGAGCAGACCCAGATCCTGCTGATCCTAACCTCTAGGAAAGTCACAGGAACCCCCATTGGGAGCCAGAGAAGTGGTTGAAAATGTCAAATTTTTGTTTTCAATTCAGTGTAGTTTCAGTTTAGTTTCCAGAGTGAGTTTGCTGGTTTAAGTTTACTTTTTATTATAATATGAGGGTGGATTTGTCAGGGCTTTAAGAAGGTCAGAATAGGTATTACAGTACAAACACACTGACTCACAGTCATGTAAACATATGCACCAATGCCTCCTTGTGCTTGTTGTGCAAAGACTAAAACTAAAAGACATTTCCTGTATATTTAGATTTTATTTTAGTTATATAGTTTCAGTTAGTTTTAACATTTGTTCTAAAGTATAGCTTTTATTTTAATTTCAGTTATATCAGCAACAAGGAACCC